TCAAAACTAAAGAGAAGTGGGTCTTTTAAAGGGAGTATGGCCACTAGCAAATGCTTTAGGTGATGGTGCCAGACCTTTCAGAAGAAAATTATATCCTGGGGAGGCCCATTTAATTCAGTGATTTGCTTGTAAACACAACTATCCTTTTCTCCTGCCCTAGGCTCAGCGCAACAATGAGGATGTCTCTGAAATCAAGCCCCTCTTTACAGTCAACGTGGATCATCGAGTGAGTAAAAGGGCAGGCGAAGCCAGCTGCTCTGTGGGTATGCAGCTGCTTCCAAGGGTGACCAGCATGTCCAAGAAAAGATGGGATAGAAACTCTTCTACTGCCTGGGCAGATTTGTAATTGGGGCTGGGTTAACCAAGCTGTTTATGGTTGTTTCACAGTACAATTTCAGTGTGTGTCCTTTGAAGGGCACCATTAAAGCTCCTTGCTACTCTAAACCTGGTGTTTGACATTTGGGCCACAGGCAGGATATCATCTTTTAAATTTGAATCTCATTTGCTTGACTTATTCTGCCTTTAGTGTTCAGTTACTGAAATTATTAAAACTTTAACAAGGACTAGGAGACAAGATGGAGGGAATTCAGGAGGACTGACATAGTGAGGACTGGTGCATAGTGTGCAAGAGCTGGGGAGTAGTAAAAAGGTAGGAGAGTAAGGTTCTGTGCTAAGCCATGATATTTCAATCACTAGAAAGCAATTCCCTGGCTTTTGGGATTATGCTGTATTTTTAAACTTTCTTTCGCACTGTATGGCTGGAACATTGCTTTAAAAGTCTGGTAGGCAGAGGAAAGTCAAAGTTTTATGGCACTTGGATAAATACTAAATTATATACTGTGCAGCAGTCCCTGCAGCTGTGTTTGGTGTTAAGTGTTCAGTGTCAATTTTTTCTGTGGTCCTGTTACTCACTTGTGGTGTATGTGACTGGGAAGTAACCTAAAACTGACCCTGCCTGAATTCTACCAGTCTGGAAAACTTACTACCTCCGTGAGCTCTTCTCTAGGAAACAAAATTCTCCGCAATTAATGTGTTACATGATAAGCCTGATCCCAATTTACTGCATGACCTTTAAGATAATTGCCAAATCTGACAGCGGGTTAAACCCTGAGTGCAAGTCCCCACTCTCTGAGTGCAAGTCATCTATTCTCATGGCTGCTTACCATTTAAAATCTTACAGAACCCCTTGTGTTTGCCTTTGCTATGCTGCATTTTTCCTTCAGAGTCTAGAGAAGGGCCAAAAGTTAAATCTCTCTTCAAGCATGCATACCTCTTTGACCAACCCATTTGGGTTCTTTTCCTTTCTTCTCTTTCACAGGGTGCCTGGAGCGGACCATGGGTCTCCACTGAGGTGCTGGCAGCCTTTATCGGTCTCCTTGTATATTACATGGCCTTCAGTGCCAAGAGCAACATCCAAGCATGAATCACTTCAATAAACTCTTCATACCAACCTCACTGTCTTCTGAGTCCTTTCAGTGCAAGAATCTGTAAGAGCTGTCTTTTGGCACATCAGTCATCAGAGTTACAGCTACCCTGTGGCCTGCTGACAATGGGCTCTTGAAAATCTGCTGTATGTATATTGTTTTGCGGAGGGTGTGTGTGTGTGTGAGAGAGAGTGAGAGAGAGAGTGAGAGTGAGAATGAAGGGCCAGTGGTTCTGCTCAATCAGTAATTCAGGAAGGAAGGAGGTTCTTTTGCTGGATTTCTTTCTTGCATCTAAAACAAGTCTTTCAGGATAGATGCCATGTTGGAATCAAAGGAGTGAGAGAAAATAAATGGGACTCAGTGTAGCCAATCCCTCCTGTGGAATCAAGTGTAGATTCCTGAATTGGATCTGACCCCATTTTTGTACCTCCACAGACATCCTTTCCTATGCTAAAAAAGAAATTCCTGGGATTGTCTCAGTGGTGGGGATTGGCTGTGATGGCAGCTGCCTTCCCACCCAAGCTTTGGTTCTGTTTTCCTTTGCTTTAATTCTGTTAAGAAGTCTGTCCCTGGGTGCAGCAACATTCATGCCACGGCTCCTTATCCGCCTAATGACAGCAGCTCCTGGTGTGAGCTAGTGCAGTGTGGGTGGGATTACACCACTGCTCTGAAGTTGCTCTAATCCTGGATTAAAGGGGGCAAGTCAGCCACAAAAGGGCTGCAGGGAACATCTCTGACATGAACAGCACACTGTGTTCATGGAAAGGCAGTGAATTGGAATGAGCAGGGGCAGGTCCGCGATTACTATTTTCTAGAGCAAGCATGTAAAGCTGTCTGGATAGTGCTGTTTTTCTGCTTGAGGATAGCTTGGCCTTACATGCCATCCAGGGTTGTTTTCCAGATGGTTGACCCACCTCTGATTGGCTTGATATGAGCAAGCATTGCCAGTGCCTCTATTAACCCTCTTGGTCTTTTCCCAGAAGTCATGAGGGATTTATTGATGTCCCTGATTTCAAATACTGCTTTGTCCTGCCACAATTTGAGGGATATGGGTAGGAGTCCTATTTCTGTTAAAATTTAGTGGAGTTTCTGGGCCCCTACAATTTGTGTAGGTATATAAACCCAGGTATTTTTTAATTAAACATTAAACTTGTTTAAACAACAAAAAGTTGGTTTCTTAAATGCAAGCATGAAAAGCAGGTGGAAAATGTTTCTACTGGCCACTCATAGACCATTTTTATCCCCTATTTTCTATGAATGGGTGTACTTCTGTGTGTCAAGAGAGTGGCTTCTAGCACAGTGTAGAGATGGAAAGAAGGGAACATGGGATGAGATGAAGCTGTAAACAGATTACATGCATATGCGATTAATGCACAAAAGGTCTAGAGAGCCCTAGCTCCAGTCACAGAGGATGAGATAAAAAGTAAGTTCCTGCAAAGAAGTAGGTTATGTTCTGGGTTCAGTGTAGAAATAAGGAAACACCCATTTTCCAACATTGGACGTTTATAGGTGTGGTTCCAAAGAAATCTATAGTTCCATCTCCTGGCTGTGGTTTCTATGCTAAGTGGGGCATAGAGGCTTGTGATTGCTGTTCTCTATAACAGTGAAAGCTTGTGCATTTCTATTCGTTATTTATGTCAGGCTTCCCCAGCCCAGTCCCCTCCAGGTGTTTTGGACTTTGGCTACCATCAGTCATCATAGTCAGTAGTCAGGAATCCTGGAAGTTCTAGTCCCAACACATCTGCAGAGTACCAGCTGGGGAAGACTGCTTCATATTTTGCCAAGTTCTGAAACTGAGTGAGCTGCCTGCCCACCCCTGCTATACCTATGACAAAGTGGTATCACTATGGTATCACTTTTTATGTAGGTTATATATGCCGGGCCTGTAGAAACTGTGGAAATTGTATTCACAGTTGTCTGCCAACACTGCATGAGTTTTCAAACACCCTACCCACTATTTCCAGCATTCAGGAGAAAGGCGAGGGAAAGTTAATCTCATGCATGTATTGATTACAGAGTTGTGTAAAGATAAGAGTAGAGGGCTCCTGCTACCTAAACTCCAATGTGTCTGTTCAAAGAGGGACAGAGCCTTCTTTCCCATTATGTGTAATACTAGAGTGACCCCATTATCTGTTCCTTCTGACTGGTTCGTGCTGCAATAGAATCTGAGCACAACTTAATAGTAGCTTCTGTATTAAGTACTTCAAAGGGGTTTTTTGATACTGACATATATTAAACATGATAGTGACATCTGAATGCTAATTCAAATGTCTTTAAGCTATTGACTGCTTCATCTGACCTATGAACAGGTGCTAATCTGACTGCAGCTCTGCAAAATCGGGGAAGGTGTTCTTACAACATTGCAACTTGATCCCCTTGTGACTAGAGGTTCCAGAGACTGAACTGGATTTTGTGCAAGTAAAGCATATGCTGTTTCATTAGCTGTGGAACCCTATTTATTAAAAAAGCATTAATACAAAAGCATTTATTTAGTAGCTAAGCCATCAAAAAAATTTATGAAGTCATGCCAACAGATCTTAAAGAGGTAGCCTTCTCACTGTCATGTTGTGAAGTGTAAGTAGTTTCCTTCGGCTTCAGCACTGTGCAGCAATATAACTTTATCTTACTAAAGTAGCAAATTTGCCAAGGGCAAATATTGCAAATTGCATGTTAATCAAGGTCTGTGTTAATAGTAGGGGGTCTGTTAAAGTGCAAATGGGAATTGCTATTTTCAGGTTTTCCACACCATTAATCTTCAGAAATAAACCCCACGAAACTGGTTTTTTATGGGGGGTTTTTTTGCAATGAGTAAAAAGAACATTTTTCTTTTTTATTGTAACAATGCAAATTCAGTCTCAGATACAGAGTTTACCACAAGCTATCAGCTCCACAGCCTCCCTATGTTAAGCTAATGCCCCCCTCCCTGGGGTGGGGGTGCATTCAGATGGTAGAAAATGGAGGAAGGGGACTGTTAGTTGCCTGCAGGATGAGCCACCAGGGCCCAGACCTGGTTTAAATAGAGAAATGAAAAAGACGTAGAGTCACAACCACAAAAGAGAAAAGAGAGAAAAAGAGGACAGAAAGATGTCGCAACATCCCAACTCATTGGGGGCTAAGGAGGAGATCTTCATCGGTCTTGTTGACCAGCAGCAGGTAAGCCTCCTCACTTCCCCTGTGCTCTGCACACTATGTAGACCACAGCTGATTTCTTGTGCTTTGCAGCGTGACTGGCAAGAGCTAAGCTAGCAAAAGCTTTCCATAGGCGATGGGTGGCTGAGCTGCCCTGCACAATCACCTTCACTACAGACAGGCTGTATACATCAGGAAAATAGACCTGACCACACAGCAAACTCCTGATGGTTGCAGGGTTGGGAATGGCCCCTCTTGCCCCCTAGCTTTTAAGGCAGGAAGGGACACTGGGTTTACTTACTGTCCCACTCTAAATTTGGTTCAGAGAGGAGGGCCCTTCCGAGCCCCACAGAGCTCACATGGCAATATTAAAAAGTTTATCTGGTGTGTTCAAACAGCACTCCTCATAGCAACAGAGGTTGAGCAACAGCCGATGCAGTTTTCTTACTCCAGCACACCTGGAGGAAAAAAGCAAACAAGCTCCCTCTGTTGTTCCTTTCCATGCACTCAAACAGTGGTGACAGACAGCAGTGGATTGTAAACTCTGCGTCCATCTGCTGAGCGGGTGCCATGTGCCAACATCTCTTGGATGGTGATCCAGTTGTCCAGGATACGCCGACTTCGTTTCTTCATGGTTTTGCGGTGGCTCAGGGCCAAGATGTTGACTTCACCAGATACCCCCCCGAGCCTCACTGCCTTCCCGTTCCCTCAAGCACTCCAGCCGGCTCTGCATCATAAATTCGCGGCGCTTCCGTTGCTCACGGGCACGGATTAAGTGCTGCTTCCGCTCTTCCTTGCTCCAGTAGCGTCCCATCTTCATCTCGCTGACAGCATCATCATCTGTGGTCATGCCGCTGCGTTCTTCACGGATCTTCATGGCCCTGGCTTTGAGCAGCCGGTCCCTCACTGGTCTCTTAGCCACATAGCGTGTGCCATCACTGCGAACCTTCACTTTCCACTCCATACGGGGCTCTCCTTTGCCCCCAAGAGAGTCTTTGCATATGCTGGCTAGGCTCATAGGGCTGATAGGAGCAGGTGGCTCTTCCCGCTGCTGCTGCCGCCGACTCAGGTAGGGGCTGCCTTCCCCAGCTGCCTTGGGGCTGCGTCGTACCCGCTCCTCCCGTCGGAATTTGGGCTGTGGAGGTGAAGGAGGAGCGGTCCGGTTGAGGTTGGGTGGCTCAGCCAGGCGGCGCAAAGGACTCTCCAACAAGGGAGTGCTTCGGCAGCTCTCCCCAGTATTGTAGGCACTGGTGCTATCCTTATCAGAGCGTTCTGGCAGTTCAGTGATGTCAGATAACTCGTGTTTCTTGGGTTCCCCATCCAAGGTATACAGCCCTTCCTCCTCCAGCAACCAGGCTTTCATGCAGCGTTCACGCAGCTGTTGCATCTTCTGTGCTCGCAGGATGTTGCGGCACTTGAATTCCAGGTGGCGGAGCTCCTCTTCCAGTAGGGCCACCTCATTGCGGTTGACATCCAGTGCAGCACTCACAAGGCCAGGGTCATTGCCGTTCTCTAGGTGGCACTTCAGCTCCAGCAGCTCACGGTAGCGTTCATATTCTTCATCAGTAAGTCCCGGCATCATGTCAGTGCCTACAGCACTAGGTGGCTCCCCTGCCAGTAGAGAGTCCATGCTGTAGTGAAAGTCCCGGGGCTGCAGGCTGGGCCCAAATTTGCGCAGGCTCCCCGGGGTGTTGGCAGCGCTGGGTGCTTCATCTCCTAGGAGGTCATGTTCAGAGCTCTCCTCATTGCGGGTGCTTTCATCAGTGCGGCCAACACCACTGTCCAGCTCCTGGCTGTTGGTCAGGGGTGTAGCAGGATCCCCAGGGGGCTTTTCTTGTAGAGGTTCATTCTGGAGAGAGGAGGGAGAATGCACTAGTCAGTGAAAGAAGTACAAATACCCTCCTTTCCAGAAGGAAAACACAGTTCTAGCTGATAGTGCCCTGGAACTGTTGACTCTTGACCTTATCTACCAGCTGGAGAAGCAGTGGCCACCGAGTGACTGCACTCCCAGCTTCCTAGGATGAACATCACAGCAAGAGAAAGATCAACCTAGCCCCATACAGCAGCCATAGAGGGAGCAACCAAGGAGCTCACTTCACCTTTTCCTGCCAGAAGGAACACTTTATGTTGAGGCTTGTAAAGATGTACTTGGTTATCCAGGGACTTGAGGGGATTACCCATTCCACATGTTTTTATTTTACAGGGCCCTTCTTTGCTGTTTGTTTTTAGATCTTTTTAATTTGTTTCTTTTGATAAGTTTTTATAGTATCGTTTGTATGTACTGTTGTAAACTGTGCCCAGAGAGTTTCAGCTGTTGAGTGGTATAGAAATGAAATAATAAGGTTGTGGGGGGAAAAGCTTCTCATTAGTGGCAGCCAGGAGGTGTGATATGAAGAGGGGCTGGCCTGGATGGATAGAGTCCTGAAGTTGCATGTGTCCACTGGGTCAAAGGTCTTCATTCTTGCTTTAATGGCCCCAACTATCAGCCATAGGGGGCTTGTCTTGCACATAGGAAGATCCCTGCTGGATCAGACCAGGGTGCAATCTTGTCCAGGAGTGGGCAACCTGTGGCCTTCTATTCCCATTAGCCTAAGCCAGCATAGCCAATGGCGAGAGACTATGAGTGTTGTAGGCCAAACATCTGGAGAGCTTTAAGCTCTCCATGCCTGCTTCATAGATTCAATAATGCAGATCTCTGGATATTATGCCAGTGTATGGTCCTATCATAAATCACCCCATCATGCAGTGCAGCTTCCTCATGTAAGAATGTTTCTATATTGTGTGGCTCAGAATCCTGCAAATCCTGTTCCCACAAGCAAAAGCCCCAGACTGCTGCTGATTCCCACCTTCCCCTTCCAGACAACATACCTGCTGGGCTGGTGGAGAAAGGAGCCGTCGGGGTTTCGTTCCAGCTTCATGGTCAGAACCAAAGTCATCCAAGAAATCCTCTCGGTCACTGTCTTTCCAGCGCTTGGAAAGCTGGAAGAGCAAAGAGAGTCAAAGTGAACAGGACCAGGAAGTCTACTGCCTACCCCAGGGATGTAAAACTCCCAGCCCCGCTGCAGTCCCTAACCGGCCTTCTGGAATTACCACTAAGCCACTTCTGTTGCCACACTCCACTCCCATTCCCCAAACCTCAATTGTTTGTGTAACTTTCCCCCATTTTAAAAGGTTGAGATCCTTCTCCTAAGGCTGAGTAACTGGTGCTAGGGTGTTTAAGCTAAAATGGGCTGGTATTTTGGTTCTGCTCATTTTGTCCTACGCACCATTTGAATGTGGACCCCAAGAACTTTTCTGAAATTGAATTCAGCGCTGGGGCTGAATGATGTTCAATACTCCATGACTCCCCCCAGCCCAGGCTCCTTAATTCTTTCACCCAGGAAACCCCAGTCAACGCCAACACTGATCCTCTCTATTAGCCAAACACTGAGCAACCAGTTCATAAGAGGGAAATAGGCCCTACTCAGGTGCATTTTCATCTCTAGTATTCCTCTATGTCATTTCAAATGGTTATTTGTTCAATTCACACATACTAAACTTTATCCAAAACAAGGCAATTGTATTTTCTCTCTATGGAAGTAGAATGACTGGTTACTTTATAAAATGCATTCTCCCAGAGTTTTTGTTTACTGAAGCAACAGCATATTGTTGAAACCCACATTTAAATCTTTGGGACAATCACTGCTAAGACTTAACCTAACCTACCTCACATGGTTGTCATAAGGATAAAATGAAAGTGAGGAAAGGAAATCCAACCTAAGCCATTTGGAGGAAGGGCAGGACAACAATATAATAAATGTATCTTCTCAATTATATTTATAACCCATCCTTTTTTCTTTCAAGGAACTCAAGATGGTTTATATAATCTTCTTTCAAACTTATCCTCACAACAACCCTATTAGGTAGGTTAGGCTTAGAGTCAGGGACTAGCCCAAACTCACCCAGTGAGCTTCGTAGCTGAGAGGGGACTAGAACCTGGATCTTCCAGGTCCAGTCCAACACTAACCGCTACATTACACTGACTCTCAAATGCTATTGGTAGAGGCCCTTCTTAAAGAATATATGGCTATGGTGATTTTTTTTAAACAATGGCTTCTTTAACTTACTACAAATGCTAAATAGTAAGTACAGTTTACAAAGGGGAATGGTGGGGTAGGAAGTGGCGGTGGGGGGGGGGTGCTTATCCCTTGTTTACCTGCTTATTCATCTGGCTGTGAAGCCCAGGGTGAGGAAATGGTCTCAAAAGTGCAAGTGGGATGGAGAGTCTATGGCAGGGGTCTCAAACTCGCGTGCCACTTGCTGGGACGGGTGGGGCATGGGGGAGGGGCCCTGCGGCCTTTAAAGCACCGGTGGCGCCCGGGCCGGACGCGGGATGAGCGGCCCACCACCCCCACGGGGGTGGAATACTTGATGCGGCCCAGCCTCACCCAGACTCTACTTCCAGCGGCCCCCAGGTAAGTTGAGTTTGAGACCCCTGGTCTATGGGAAGGGGTAAGCACTGCCTTTTAGTCTATGCAAATACCCTACCTGCCCCAGTATTGGTCAGGAACCCCATCCCATGCTTGCCTTGCAATATGTAGCATCACTCTCAGTTTGATATTCTAAACTACCTGTTGTAATTAGGTATGGTGGAGAGGCTCAAAGAGGAATGGGTGTCTTTACTGACCATCCTCCTTGACAATGAGGAGAAGCGGGAGCAGCTGAAGTGTCCTTTACTCTGACCGACGCTGATTAATTCCTCCCTGTCTGTGTAATGCCAAGTGCATGAGAGCAGGCTCCCTTTCACTAGTGCCCCCTGCCATCATTGGAGGGGCTCGATGGGAATAGTCTTCTTGTACAGTATCCAGAGGAGGATGAGCCACTAGTCTCTCATATGCGAATACATCCCCATCCTGGTTGGCAACCTAAATACTGAGTTCTTGAAAGCAGCAGTGGCTTGCTTATTCTGGAAGCATCCACTTTTCACTTACCAAGGTGAAGCAGCGGTTCCCAGAATAGGTAAGGCAGGGCTGTGATTTTGTTTTGCTTTGTTTTAAGGTGTTGGGCTTTCTGGGGAGAACAAAGATGTTGGTAAGTGATGTCACCTCCAGCTCATAGGAACCCTACCCATAGGAATGAATGCCCTCCAGAACGTCCTATTCTTCACAGCCCTGTTCAGTTCTTCCCAAGGCTGTGGCTTCTTTTAAGGAATCAATTCCTCTCATACATACTCTTCCTCTTCTGCTTTTGACTTTCCCTAGCATGACTGAGTTCTCCATGAGTCTTGTCTTCTCCCGATCTGTCCATAATACAACAGCTGCAGTTTTATAACTTTTACTTTCAGGGAAAGTTCTGGTCTGATTTGATCTAGGACCTACTGGAATGAAGCTGTGTCTATGTAATTTGGAGTTGTCATAAGCAGATTTCCCCACTGCTCACTCTAATCCATTCTTCTTCCACTTCCTTGGCTCTGCTCTTCCTGCCTTTTGGGTTAACTTGGGGAAATGTCAACATTTTGGCATCAGTGTATTAGAAGTCTGCCAGAGTTTTCAGTTCATGTTACTTTCCCAGCACCCGCTTTCAGATTCCATCTAAGCTTATTGATCAAGTCAGGTTTCTTTTTTGTACTGATTTGATGGAAAGAGGATCTCTTTCTATGCTGATTTAAGTGAATCAAGAAAGGTATTGATTTAATCAGTGCAAAAAGAAATCCTGATATGATTGTGTAAGGAACTTTTTTTTGTGCTGTGATTTAAAATCGAAGTGCCTGTGAGCATCAGCTCACATCAGCATCAGCAGCCTGTAAGGGGGAAATAAAATGAAAACTGCATTAAACTGAACATATACAGAAATTTGAAGTCCAGAACAAAATTTTAAGATAGAGCAGTGGCTTAATGCACTGGTGCAGCTTTGGGAACAAGGTCAGATTATTCGTAATTACAAAACTGGGGAATGAAATTGAGATGGGAAGCAATTGATCAGCATCCATAAATCAGAGTAAGCAAGGCTCAGCAATTCATGCTCCTCTTCAGCATGAGGCAAAATGATCAGCAAAGAAGCCACTCTCTCTGGGACCTCTGACTGCAATATACCTGCTCCCTCCCATGCCATTCCATAGCAAGTAAAGAAGGACGCAAATGCACGTGTCCGTATCACATGTGAGGCATTCAACGGCTCCTTTCTTGGTATGTCTACACAGGTGAGATGAAATTTGAATCAAGGTTTTCAAAGACCTTCTCCAGCCTACTATCCCCTCTGCTCAATCTCTGATTCTCAGAAAGTATCCTTATTTTGACTTGATCCACTGGACCTCTATCTCCCTGCATGGCCTGGCAGCATCTCCCTGGGATCTTAGAAATCTTTCCCAGCCCTACTTGGAGATGCCAGGAACTGAAACTGCGACTTCCTGTATACAAAATGCTTCACCACTGAGCTGCAGCCCTGCCCCATTTGACTTCAGACACAGTGCCTCTCACCTCAGTCTCAGGCTAAAAGCCTCTCACCTCAGTCTCAGGCCGAGCCAGCAGCAGAGAAATGTTTGTCCGCTCCTCCTGGGTGAGAATTGCTACTGCTTCCTCCCGATTTTGCACCTCCATGCCATTAATCTAGGAGTGGAGGCGATGCATTGAAGGGAAAATTTCAGCTTTCTTATTAAAACTTACAATGTTCTCCCTCCCTCTCAACAGCTCCCATAGGATTCACCTGGATGATGCGGTCTCCTTCCCGGATGCGTCCATCCTTGGCAGCGATGCTGTTAGGGTTGACCTGGTGTAAGAAAAGTTGAGTGAGAACAACTCCAGTATCCTCCTCCTGAGTTTCCCTTGCTGCTAATCCTAGGGTCTCCCATGTGGTGCCTGTGTGCTCTAATAAGCCCACAAACACATATCAAGGCTGCTCTTGATTTTTAGTTTTTCCTTTCCTTTTCAAACAGGGAAGGTGGTTGCAAAGTGAATTTCTCTCCTCCATCTCCATAAATATTTGGGTTCAAAAGAGTGATTCTTATGTTTCTGAGTCCAGACTGCACAGCTGCTTAGCATTTAGGGCAAATTACTTTTCCTTTAGTCTCGTCAGTTTTACTTCTTGTAACCAGTTTTGCAACTAGCCATGCTTACTTTTTTATCAATAGGCAAACCATGACAAATATTTGTGAAGGTATCCATAACACTCTCACCCAAAAGGCCTGGAGACCCTGTCTAACTGTTAAAACTTACTAAACATGGAGGGCGGGGAAGAGAACCCAGGAACTCCTCTATTCTAACACTCCCTTCATAGATTCTAAGGAAGGTGGCCATGTATTGTACCTTACAGTCCTCTCTTTGAAGGGTGGAGTGGTCCAAGTCTGATTTAAAGATGAAGAACCATAAGAAGGGAGAAGCCTTGAAATTGCCTGTGTACATTCAGCACCTGGACAGCAGAATGAGCAGGTGCACAGCTCATACGCCCACTCAGCCTTCTCATCTCAATGGAGATGTAGTGATTTGTGTTCTCTTTGCCACTGACTTAGCAGCTACCCTAATTCTAACACACCGGGCCCAACATTGTTTCTCTACCTGGGTGCAGGATTTGCTCTTGCTCTGCATTCCTGCACCCTGAGACTTTGAAGAATTATTCATGGGCCTCCTGCATTACTTGCTGTCTCCTCTTTCCTATAAACAGCAAGGTATATTGGCTAGAGTGTTGGCTGAGGCTTGGGAAATTTGGTTCCAATCCCCACTCAGGTAAGAGGAAAAAGAGTGGGGAAAGAATAGAATTTGGTACTACTATAAGGAGTAATAGTATGAACTGGTCTTCAGGGCATGTGTTAATGCAAAGAGACCTGGACTGACATCTCCAAATCAGCCATGGAAGTTCACCAAGTGACTTTGGACCAATCAATCTCTCTCACTCCAGTCACATTTACAGGGTAGTTGTAAGGCTAAAATAGATAGGTGAGAGCCATCTATGCTGCTGAACTGTCTGCTTTGAATCAGAGTAGAATAAAATGCTGCATATAAATGGGGCTACAACTCCCATGCCTGCTATTAAAATAAGTTTGCAGTTGCACAAACAGGTGGTAGACACAATTAGTTTTATCAATTATTAAAAAGCCTCTTCCCAGAATACACTGAGAGTTTCATGGATCATTCTTGTTCACAAACCATCCTTCACTGATCTCTTCAGGTAGACAGAATCCTGCAGGTTTTCTAGTCTGCCTCTGCTTTTCTGTACTAATGATTATGCTTTTTACTATGTCCAACCTTTTGCCAATAGCTAGAAATTTCACAATGCCATGAGACCTGCTGTACTGACAGTGCTGCTGTGATATTTCAGCAGGAAGCATGCTCAAGTAAGCAGCACAGTTTATATTATGGAGGACACAGTCTTATCACCCCCACGGAAACTGCTCACAAGCTCCTGAACTTAGCGATTTACAAGCATATGGTGCAAGGTATGAGGCACAAGGGCAATTTCTCCTCTCATCACCACACCTCATGCCCTTTTCAGTCATCTAGATTTAGTGCCATGGAGGGTGAGGGAAGGAAGGTTGGGGAGCTGACTGAAAGTGGCATAGCTCTGCAACCCCAGCCTCCTTCAATCTGTGTCCCCCAGCATAGCTCTTTCAACCCCCCCCCCCCACCCCCAGCCCAGTTGCAACCTTGGGAAGAGGGCAGCTGGTGTGGTTCTTTCCATGCAGGCTGCAAAGAGGCAGACTGGAGGTTCAGCCTTCAGAGTTCCAGCTCCAAGACTGTAGGATCTTGGAGGTGGGACTGTGAAGAATCTTGTAGCCTCCCAGATGATATTGAGGGGTCACAGGATTGTACCCTCATGCTCCTATACTAACAATTTGAACCCCAAATCAAATGGCTGCTAACTTATATTCCAAAGCAAAGCTCCTGGAATCATGACTTTGGAGAAAACTAGAGGTGATATTCTGACAATGCAATCATTGCACAGGAAGCCAAAACAGCACCGGGACTGCAAGAGGTTGCATGGGGAGTCTAACCCTCTCTGTTTCTCTGCTGTGGCCTCAGACCCTCCCCCCCTATGAATATGAATAGTGGTACCTGCCATTAGGCAGAGCGTGGCCATTGTCTCAGGCTGTAGACACTAAGAGGCAGCTCTGGTAGTCCCCCAACAATTCTACTCTCTTAGGAAGACAAGGCCATGTGTCTCTCACAGCCTGTCCTACATGCCCTGTACTAGCCCACTTCCCTCATGTGCAAGGAGGATTTTGTCCTGCTGCATGCCTTGAAGTAATGTTCAAGCACCAGCCTGGTTGGAATGGAAGAGGATGCCATCTAGTCCTTTGCCGCAAGTAGTAAAACATCCTGGGCGGACCCTCCAGCTACAATATTTACCAGGAAGGAACTGTCCATGGCCTTCTGTAAATTTTACTCCACACAGATTAGGGTGGGTAATTCATGGCCTTCCAGATGTTTGCTGTACAGTTCCCAGCATCCCCAAACACTGGATTTGCTGGCTTGAGCGGATGGGAGAGGTGGAGGATGAAATCTCTGGAGAACCACAAATTGCCTAGCACTGCTCCAGATTTTTCTCCTTTGTTCTCCCTTCTCACCTCAAGAAAACACCTGAAGGCTTTCTACCTCCCCAACTTTACTGGCACTTAAGCAATCCCAGCCTACAGTGATATTCTACCCTTCTCAAATGTCTGGGGACATCCAACATGATCTTGAGAAAATCTTCATAATCTTCAGATATCATTGAGCTTGTTTCCCAAATTGGGGAGGGGCCTGAGGAACATGTGCAAACAGATCTCATACTGCTAATTCACCCTGCCACTGCCACCTGCCCCAAAAAGCAAATATGTCTTGCTGTACCAACAGTACCAAACCAGGAGCTCAGTTGCCCCATTTCCTAACATTTGAATCTTACATGCAGCTTTAACTTCAGCCTCCCGTCACACCCCACCAAGGGCTTCCCCCTCCCCCACCTCTCCAACGTAGATGCCTACATCGTCCTCGTCATCAGTTCGGTAACAAACCATCAGGCCCAGCTTGTCCCGGTGGCTGGATTTGTACAACTCCACCTCCTGTGGAACAGAGAAAGCAGGAAAGGTCACACACTGTAATAATCCATTACTTTCCCTCAGACACGGTGGCAGCAGAAGGGTTATTTGCACAGAGGTACTAGTGTGCCTTGTATAACCTTTTCCAGGTAGAAATGCATGCCTAAAACATCTCCTGCTTTGCCTTCTTTCCTCCATTTACAACTCCAGCCAAGGCAACTAGTTTTCAGATATTCTGTAGGTCTTAATGTGATTATTACTGAAACCCACACTCTGTTTTCCTGTCAAGTACTGCTTAAAGTAGAATCCCATGTAATCACCTTAGAATCCTTTCATACTTGCATGTTTGTCATTTGATGGTTGTACTGTCCACTGATGCCCCTGAATGTGTGAATGAAGTAACTGAATGTGTGAATGAAGAGCCATCAGACTTTGATTAGGTACAGGGGTTTGTTTTATTGGAACCCAGTAAGCCATCCAGTGATTGAGCTGAGTGGTTAAAGTTTGCATATCCATGTATGAACTACCTTCTCTTTTAAATTTCTAGACCTTGTTTGTGCATATTTTATGACAGATGCAACTTCTCCACTTATTTCCTGCCACACAGGACAGTACATTCCATGAAATCTCATGTGGATATTCCAGGACTGGCCTTATGACTTTTTCCTAAAGTAGCTGCCACTCTTCTTACTATGGTGGACAGAGGCATTCTGGAAAGAGTACCCCCATGAGAAAAATATTTACAAGTATGGAGAACACGTAGGATTTGCAACAAAATCTTCCTTACTAAAGATGTGCTCCCGTTCAAGAGTTCTAGCCAGCCATTCCCACTAAAGGGGGCATTCAGCTCTGCTTCTCCACCATGTTCCATTTTCCTTTTCCTGTCGTCACTTCATATTCTGTGTCTACTAAGCAAGCTCAGATATCATTGAGCTGTTTGTGTGGGACAGGGTGGATAGCTTTCCCCTTAGATTGTATTGTACTTCTGCAAACTCTGAGGTGTCAATACTTGCCTCTTTTTTCTCAATGGCCCCTTTGGAAGAAGTGTTTACTCCCCTTTCAAAAAAAAGTCCATACACCTGCTCTCTCCTGATTCCAAGATATTTCTCAGTGAGAACAACAGAGGATTGAACATAAAGGAAGGGGTTATTAAATGGAAGCAAATGTTCATATGGGCATAACCTAGGATAAATAACAAAGTATTTGTGGCACTATTTGTTTTTGATTTGGCTTTGCTTTTGTTTAAGTTGCAGTGTTGTAACAGACAAATATATCCATTCCTCTAATTTTTTCAGCATGACTGACTGGGATAGCATTCGATAAAGACAGAAAGCAATAAAGACAGAAATGCTGCTGAAAGGCATTTAGTAGGCCAGAGCACCTACTCTGGATTTTGGTCCAGGCATTCTCAGGAGGGGTTGCACACTGAAACTCGTGTTGTGTTCTTACTGATCTGCTTGGTTGTGAAACACAAAGTCTTGATCGGGAATGTCACTGGGTTGGCAGACTCTTTATCAGTTTTGCTGTCCTGGCCTTTGCAAGCCTCTGTATCCAGCCCTGATTTCAACACCTGATGTCCAGTATATCATAAAACACTGTTATTTAAAACTGAGCAATGTCACCCAGAATTTGTCACCCAGCATGGTTGCCCCGCTCTATTCCGTGGTAGGGCCTGGCCCTGCTCCCTCATTTCCTGGAGTCTGCTTCCAATTTAATTATGTTCTTACCTCATACTCCAGCTCTTCTGCCCGCTCGCCCTCTGGGGCACCACTTTCCATAAATTCCACAGGGTCATAATATTCATGTGCAATTGAGGGACTGTGAGCAAGAGAAGACATACAGCTGTTAGGTGAAGCATCGCTTTGCCGTGAGGACCCCCTTCCCCACCCCAGAAGATTCCCAGGGCTCTATCTTCACATGTAGCCATTCACCAAATGCAAACCAGATGTGAACCTGGAACTTAAGGAATAGAGATTGACCAGCAAAAAGCAAGAACAAGAGGATTTCATGTTAGCAGCCTGTATAATATTGGGAAGTCAGCAGCAATTTATGGGTATTTCTCAACCCTCATGCTGGAAAGTTGGTGAACCTAAAAGGACAAGATACTAGGAAAGCATTACAGGCAACTTCCACAACCCAATGCCCTCCAGATTTTTGGACTCCATCCTTGACTGTGCTGGTTAGAGCTGGTGGGAGTGTCAGGTAGTGGAAGGTTGAGATAGGGTGGGAGGACATGAAGACTGAAGGCGGTGGAAGTTTCTGTTCTTCAGGGGAACACTCACAGTTCCGGCAGCCCATAAGGCTCCAATGTTACAGCTGGGGGGCTTGGAGGCCGCACTCTGCCTAGCCCCAGTAGGTGTTCGAAGGTGATGTCCGTCTGAGTTCCACTATCTACCAGTGTTGCAGGGTCTCCTTGGGGGGCAGGCCCTTCGCTGCCCCCACCCCGGCTGCGGGGACTGCGCCTCAGAACCTGAATGACCAGAGGCTCCTTAGAGCACCGCAGGGCTTCGAGAGTCTGTTCCTGTGAGAGATGGGACAACTCCCGACCATTCACCTATGTGGAAAGGGGAGGAGAAAGAAGGTAGCCTGTCATTCCGAATTCCTGTGCTGCTTTCCCCCAGTTCACTGAGCACTACCAAAACCCACTTGGACCTTGTCATACCACCTGGGGTTGTTCACTCCATTCCATAGGAAAGTAGAACAGTTGGATCCATACTGAATTCTGCACCTTCCCCAGGTCTTGCTTCCCTGCTTTTTCTTCCAGCATTTGTTTTTGTTCAAAGCATCCACTGATTGATCAAAAAGTAATGCACCATGGCATGTGAATGTGTGCGTGTCTGTGGTGCCACTTGCTGTTAAGAATATAAGAAAAGCCATCTTCAATCAAACCAAGGGTGCAACTAGTCCAGCATTTTCTTCCCAAAGAGGCTAACCAGCCACTCACAGGAAATGCACAAACAGGACAAGAGTGCAAAGGTACCCTCCTGCCCATGTTCCCCAGCCACTGCAGTAGATAGGCATACTGCCTCTGATACCACAGGTAGCATATAGCTGTAAGGACTAGCAGCCATTGGTAGACTTCTCTATTAATTTGTCCTTTCCCCTTTTAAAGCTGTGCACATTGATGTCCAACACAATAAATTCCATTGTTCATGCACCACTGTGTGAAGAATCCCTGTCTCTATTCCTATTCTGCCTCAGACAGAAAAATGACTTGGGATGGCCTTGACTTCTTCACCTCAAGCTACCCCTCTTATATTCAAGGCTTGTAAGTTAAACTTCGCTTCTGTAAATGGTGGTTATGGGACTCCAGCAGTCCTGTTTTCCCAAGCTTGCACCCTTGTATCCATGCAATTTTGATGATCTTTGCACCCAGGCAAGTGGCCAGTCCAGGACAACAGGCAAACAGGCCTCTCTTCTCCCAGCTGGGACTGGAACCTTTGAACATGACAAATTAACACCTCTTCATTAAGGCAAAACAAGCAGGATGCAAAGAAGCTTACTGCAAACAGAGAGAGATTATAATAACAGTGTTTTAATTATTTTAATTATCAAGATAAAAGATGAATGCCTCATGGAATTTATAACCCCTTATTATCCTACAATGTGATTTCAATTTTCATACAGGGTATTTACAAAGGATCCTCAAAAAGGCAATTCCTACTGTTTTGGAGTCTCTTCCATAATTACCTTCCCTTACCCTTTTGTTCAAATTTTAGGTTGCACTAATATATGTTTTCCTGTCTGACTATACTTCATCAAAGGGCCTTTTAGCTGATAGCAATATCAAATGGACTAGCATCAGGAAATGATGTCTAAATTAATTCAATAATTTATTAATTCAGTATATAAATATGGTGAGCACATTGCATGGGATCTACCATTTAGGTAAAATATGCTCTTTTTGTCCACTGGGATTTTGTTTCTCAAGCAAATCATCAGCAAAAATATGGAGCAACCCCATATTAGAAGTTTCTACTTATTCTGGAATGAAAAAGGCTGGTAGGGTGCGCACAGCTGGTCACAAAGCATCCGTCACTCAGAAGGCAAACTGCTGTTTCCACATGCCATCATTATGGGGACCCTGTGAAAAAAGCCCTCAAATATGTCCCATCCTTCACAGCCCTGCTCAGCTCTTGTGAACTCAGGCCAACTAGTGATACTGGGAAAAGATAACTTACCCCAAAACTTAAATCCAATAGAGAAGTGGAGTTTGAATTTAAAAAGAAAAAACAGCTCAGTATTTTGAATGCACAATTTTCCACTCCAAAGCCCATTTCTTAGAAAGCAAACAAGTAATTTGGCCAAGAAATTGCTGAGTATAAGGTAGAATTGGGACTGAGGAACAAATGCCAAATCACTTATTTACTTCCTTGAAAAACAACAAACTATCCACTTCACAGAAGGCAAACTTGGAATGGACAGAGAAAGACACCGCACAAGGCAAAATACAGCCACAGCGCCCCTCAAATAGGCAAACAAAACCACAGGCAAAGGACCTGCACAGCCATGCACACTTCATACAAAACCCAGGCCAAACACCCCCAGAGCATGTCAAAACGACAACCCAGCAAAACTAGCTAGCACACATGGCAAAACCTACACTGAGCACAGACAAAGCAACTCCTCATGCTCCATCCACCTCCTTTAGCCTCTCCGCCTAGCCACCCAGTAAACTCCCTGCACCCCTCCCCAGCTTTTTGGGTTGTAGAAGCCCATGCTTTTCTTCTTCTAAAGAATGCTTCTGGGACCAACACAGGACCCACAAGCATTCTTGGAGATAAAGATGATGCTTTGCAGTTTGCCCACCATCCAGTCAAAATACATGCATTCATGTAAAAAATATAAAACGTATGTATATAAAATAATGTATATATTACATGTATAATGTATTATACATGTAATATAAAAACCAGGAGAGGCCCGGCCAAGGTGTCCAAGGGCATATTGGTGCCCACAGCTACTCTGCTGAAGCCCCCAGTTGTAAAGAGCCCTTCTCTGTGGCTCCAGTAGGTTGAGCCCAATGCTTCCCCTTCACTTGTGGACTGAGACCTGATTCACTTGACACTGCAGTCCACTGTGGATTACTTCACCCACAGGGGCTGTTGTGTTGTGCTGGGTGCCTATGGCCACCATTTCTGTATGGCTATGCCTAATCCTCAAGCAACCCTTGCTGCCTGGATTCACACAATAAGACAAACCACAGCAAACCCAGCGTCGTAAGTAAATACAGCCACAGTGGACTGTCATACTGTGTGAACCAGGTAGGAAACTGCTAGCTCATGGGCTTCCCTTCCCCATTTGCTCCATCAGTTTAAGGGACCCCCCAAAACTGATGAGGGAGCTACAGCAGGGGGGATGGGGGACCCCCATAGTTCCTGTGGAGGTCTGCAAGCAACATGGGGACTGCAACTGACAGGGCTAATGACTGAGGGATGGTGCAGACTGGGAGGATCGCGGAGGTGAAAAAAAAGGCTGGAAAGCTGCTCCACCAGATTTGACTCAGGCCTAGCTGCAGTGAAGCACAGCACAGCACGCTAGCTAGGCAAAGAAGGCCTGCCCAAGTGTTCAGCCCTGGTCTTCAGAATTACCGTATTCAGCTTTTGAAAACATGGAGCTTCCTTTTAGCTATCATGGCCAATAGCTACTGATTTATCTTCTGATAAACAGTTAAGAAGACAAAAACCCTGCACACTGAAAACTAGCTCAAGCAGAAGTATGGTGGACAAGAAACTCTCTCTCACCTGAGGAAAAATATTCCGGCAGCATCATATTAATGACTATTTTTAATGTAAGGGAGATTAAAAAGGACAGTTACCCCATCCCATTCTGAAATGATACAGACTGTTCCAGGGTAGGAAACCTTTACATACATTTGGAAATTTAAGAAATCTGGGCACAACCATAATATGGCTACTATGGGTAGGCATGGCTAACCCCACAAAGCAATTAACTTGCCCAGAAACATTCGTAGGAAATTGGTAGGCAGCAGCTAGAGAGTTTTGCTTTGCTTTGAAATGATCCCAGACATGAGTAAGAGAATATTTTAAAATATTTAAATAAAAATTGGAAGCAGAAGGTTGTCTTGCTAAGCACCAGGGAAGTTATCTGGGGGTACATTGGTGCCCGTGAGCATCATGCCACCTGCTTCTGCCCCACACTGTCACCTCAGGAGTTGACCAGTTCATTAAACTGCATGTGCAGACCAGGCCTGAGCCAGTGGCCTTCACTGCAACTTGTGGCAACACATCCCAAAAGTTAATTATTATACTGTGTGAAGAGATGAAGCTTTGCATCTGTCCTGCATCTCCTGTCATTGGGTAATCCCCAGATTATGAAAGAGAGGGAAAAATATCTCTCTACTTTCCCTAGAATGTACATTATTTCCTACACCTCTATCATGTCTTCCCTTAGAAAGCTTTCCCCTAAACTGAGAAAGCCCCAACTGTTGTTTCGATCAGTCAATCATTCTGCTTGGTTTGCATTTCTCTGCTGCCTTGAGTTATTGGTTGGCTGTGACCTGGAAAGTTAAATGCAGCTCACGGCAGTCCATCAGTGGTTCAGTAAGCATACTGGTTTTGCTGCTTGGGAGTTCAAAAGTGGGCCTGTGGGAGAAGACTGAAACACCTGGAAGACCACAATACATGGCTAGTGACTCAGAAGCATAGCAAAGTGGCCTGGTGCCTCACGGGACGATAGGAGGCCAACTTATTGCAAGCCATACACTTGGTTCACCTAAGTCAGTGCTGACTATATTAAGTGGCAGCGTTGGCTCCCCAGGGTTTCAGATTGGAGTCTTTCCCAGCACTTCCCAGAGAGGCTGCAAATTGAACATGGGACCTTCTATATGCTAAGCAAATGCTGCACCACAGAATTCTGGCCCATACCCAACTTGGACAGGTCAGCTCTGTCATGTTAGAAAATTCATCCACTCTCTTCATGTCTCCATCAGTGGTTTTCAAACAGTGTCCCAAGGATGCCTGGATTAATTAAAAGCTTATTCAGTGTGCCAGGATCTGTCTTCCCCAAGAGGGAGGGACCCTCTAGAACAGGAAGAGCCTTGTTTGCACAAGGACTGTTAGCCAGAGTTCTCTGCTGTCCCCATATCAAAGTTTAGCCTCTGCAGTGGGAAATCACACTCTCTGAGTGGTGTTTTTTGGGGGCTGGAAGGTCTGCTGTGGGGAAGAGAGGGCAGCAAATTCCAATTCTGTTAGTGCAGTTGGTGAAGCCTAAATCTGGATCCAATCCCAGAAATAGTTGACAAGATTCATGGAAAGACAGTTTGCTTCCTATCAACCTTTCCCTTTAGCACTCCCTCTAAAGGACAGGGTCCGCAGCTTGGGAGTGCTCCTCGACCTGGAGCTGTCCTTGGAAGCCCAAGTGATGGCGGTGGCGAGGAGCGCTTTCCTTCAGCTTCAGCTAATCCATCAGCTGCGTCCCTACCTGGAGGAAGATTGCCTAGCAACAGTGACACATGCACTGGTTACTTCCCGGTTGGATTTCTGTAATGTGCTTTACGTGGGGCTGCCCTTGAAGACAGTCCGGATACTTCGG